CACTTACATGAACAATATTGCTATTGCTGATGAATAATAGCCTAGTTTTTATTATTAGTCAGGGATGCTTACATTTTTATGTTATAAATTACATAATGGTAACATTGTAAATGCCTTTTCTGTCACTTGTTGTTAATTTAAGGCATCTTTGCTGAATAAAAGAGTCAATTTCTTTCAAAAAAACAATCTTACTGAAAAAGTTGAAATTTACACTTATATATGCACACATATTATCTGTTGAGCATTAAAACTGTGATTGGGTTTTCCATGAAAATTGTGTTTCGTATTTAAGCCTTTTTCTTACAGTTAAAACAAGTTTTCAAACTATAACAAATATAATTGTAAAAACTGACTTTTTTTATCATGTCAAAACCTCCCTACATCACTAATAAAAACATATTTCTGTCTATTTTGTTACAGACACATACTGGACAAACCCTCAGTTCCGACTGGTTCTTGTGGACGCAGACGCTAAAGAGAAGACCTGTACTGTGGTGGTGGCACTAATGCAGAAGGGCAGAAGAATACAGCGCTGCGCAGGTGCCAACCTACACAACATTGGGTTTGCCATATATGAGGTGCGCTCAAACAAGTACTCGGTATTAATAGGAACATTTCAGCATGGTACATGTAATCAGTGTGGATGGCTAAACAGTATATGTATTAGTAGTTTAATAATCATTTTATCCATTGTCTTTTACAGGTTCCTAAGGAGGTATGACTATATCATGAAGAGACCGCACTGATGATATTATATCATGATGTAATTGTTCATAGAAAACCTGTAAATTGAAAGTGATTTCAAGATCTGGAAAACACATGAAAATTCTAAAAAGAATTTATATATTTAATTTTAGCTTAAATCTGGAAATAATAATGAACAACTAGATAAAAGAACCCTACATTTTCCATATTCCACAAAATATTTAAGCGTAAGACACCCTATTATTTCTCAAATTGTAAAAAAAAAAATGTTCTATCTGCTATCTTCATTTTAGATGAAGGGTAGCCAACAACAGCTGCAAAAGGATTTCTTCCTTTATAATGCTTCCATAGCTCGCAGCAAGTCTTATGTCAACATACGTGAGGTGACGGAGCGTTTCTGCCTGAAACCGGGCGAGTATGTCATCATTCCATCCACCTTTGATCCCCACAAGGAGAGTGAGTTTCTGCTCAGAGTCTTCTCTGAGAACAAGAGCACCTCAGAGTGAGTCCTAACACTGAATTTCTGTCTGATTATGAATGTCAAATCAGTTTTCATTATAATAGCATTAACTAATATGTTAACTTATATTATCATGATGTTGTCATAAACATTATATAGGCTAATATATCATTTTTTATATTATCATTATAGAAACATTTCTTATTATTATCAGTTCAAAACAGCTGATTCTTAATATTTTTGTAGAAACCATCAAACACTCCAAGAATAGTAACATTAAATGTTGCTTTTGATTAATTTAATGCATCCTTGCTGAATAAAAGCATTCAATTCTTTCACAAAAAACATACTTACCCCTAAAACGCATTCTTCACATATTCATATACTATATATTCATATAGTAATGTCTATGCAGTACTTATCTGTTAAGCATTAAAATCTGTTACTGACTTTTCAATGATTTTTTTTTTCATATTTAAAAACAATGAATTCAATTTCATATTTAAGCCCTTTACTTAGAGACCTTTACTTCTTTTTTTTAAGAACCTTTTGACCTGTAAATGCTCCTGTGCATTTGGCTGACAGCTGCATATTTTCTCTCAGGGTTATAGATGCAGAGATCGAGTCAGAGCCTGTGGTGAGTCAACACCTGTCTCTGTCTGTCATGTTCTGTGGCAGCTCATAATAGCTGTGTCCCAATTCAGAGGCTGCACCCTTCAAGGGACAGAACTCAAAGGCCACGCCTACAAAAGCAATGAAGCGTTGTTAAATGAGACGTCCTACGGAGGATTGTTCCTGCCGCCAAGCAACTGACAGCACAGCTGCCATTGACAAACAGCAGTAAACTTTCTGAAAACAAAACAGAGTTTCCAACCTGTCTAAATATGTTCACCATGGTTTATTACTGTACATAATAAAGAGTATGAACTAAAATATGTTAGTATTAGATTTGAGTAATTTGAAACCCAATATTTATATTTAAAAGTGTAATCCAGCAATTTCTCTCAAAAAAACTGTTGTCATGCATTTCGAGGCTGCATTTAAAGGAACCTTCGAATTGGGACAGCCTTCGGCCTTAGAAGGATAAAGCCTCTGAATTGGGACGCGGCTCACATTTCATCCTGCCTCTCTACTTGTCCAAATCAATTAATCACTATGTCAAGTGTTAGTACAAGCACCAAACAAAATGAAGTAAATCTAATATTTAGAAGCCTTTTCACTTCAACACCAAAGAGACTAAAAAGCATGTTTATATCATTTCACTTTCTTATATCAACAGACGGTTGATGGTGTCAAGAAGAAAATCAAGGTAAATATGGAAATGAGATTGAGATGTTCCATAAATTTCCTTCCTTTTCTGTGCAGTATTCTTTGTCAGCCCACGTCAGATGATAAAAAGGATGAGAAAGATGGGGAAAACGCTCAGTTAATTAGTTGCACTGCTGCAGACAGACGTCTTCAGTTGTGGTTCAGTAATGACTAACAGCATGAAAACAGCATGCAAAGGTACAATATGTCAAATATGACTTGTGCCAGTTTTTTTAAACAGTCTTGGAGAATGATTTTTGAAAAGACCATTTATTAAATAGATTAAATACTATATACATTCAATACTATACTATATAAATACTATATATTTATTGGCACAATATTTAAACTATTTAAAGGCACACTCATACACATTTAATGTATGCTCACTAATTTGGTATGTTGTACGTTCAGTATTTCTATATTTTTAATGTTCAGCCACTTGAGGAGGAGGAAACTGAAGAGGAAAAACAGTTCAGGGCCATCTTTCAGCAGATAGCTGGAGACGTAAGAGCAAAAATGCATGTTTTGAAATTCATATTTACTTCACACTATAATTGTGACTGAATCATGTTCGCTCCTTGCAGGACATGCAGATTAATGCCAATGAACTCAGGACGGTCCTTAATAGAGCGATTGCCAGACGTGAGCGAAACTAATTATCTAATATACTGTATGTCTCTGTCTGTAGGGTAATTATTATCTTTTCCTTCCTTTCCTCAGATAAAGAGCTAAAAACAGAGGGTTTCAGTCTGGAGAGCTGCAGAAGTATGATTGCACTCATGGATGTATCCTTCATTAGGTTTGCAGTGCATTTTGGGCAAATAATCTGTGTATAAATATGCACCTTGTGCAAAGGTGCTGATACATTGTTGCTCAGTGAGAAATTTTGCAGATGAAATCCAGTCAGTCTACCGTGATCGTGAGTTTGCCAAAAACGTTCCCCACGCAGATTGTCACTCATGTTCAGACTGGCACTGCAAAAAAAAAAAATCTGGTAAATTTATAAAAAAAACTAAAAAAAAAACTGGCATATGTGGTTGCCAGAAATTTACCATAAAAAAATAAGTTAGCAACATTTTAGGTTTTACAGACTTAACTTAAATTTACAGTCTTAACTTAAATTTACAGTAAAAAAAAAACACATTTCATTATCTGAAATGTGACCTATTTAAGTACTAATATCTGTTTTGAACCATTGTAGTACACTGACAATTACCTACCTTTAGCTTTTTACTTTTGCCAACTGCATTTTACACTTCAAAATTCATAAAAGTTGTGTTCATCTGTGAAAATTCTCTTGATGGACAAAACATGTAGGTGTCAAAATTTGTTGATCACAGAACTTGTTTTTGTGATAATCCAAAAGCCTGTAGAAAAATCTTATTGGGTTTTTGTCATAGACAGTTGTCCAGGCAACCAGTGTGATGCTAACTGCCAGTTGGTCATACCCTTTCTTTTACTGTCAATGGTCATACCTGCACCACTCTATGGTGCCCCCTTGTGTCCTGGACTTGTCCCAAATAGTTGTTATTTCAAGTTGTCATCTTAACCACAACACCTTGATGACTGACAGACTGATGGAACAGGCCACCTAAACCTGCAAGAGTTCAAACACTTATGGAATAAAATTAAACAGTGGAAGGTATGCCATAATTTTCACCTTTAAAAAGCACGTCAAATCATGTTCTTTTGTACTACACTATATTACAACATATGTTAAAGTCTCTCTACACTATTTTCAGCTGGTGTTCACACGTTTCGACACAGACAAATCCAGTACAATCAGCAGTTTTGAGATGAGGAACGCTCTTACTGAAGCAGGTTGGGCAGTCGGTTGTCTTTTTTAACTTCTCATTTAATGATATAAAAATGTATAATAAGATATTTCACTGTACCTCAGGTTTTCAACTCAACAATCAGCTGTATGACATTATTTGCATGCGATATGCCAACGAACACATGGAGCTGGATTTCGACAGCTACATTAGCTGTTTAGTGCGACTCGAGGCAATGTTCAGTAAGTGTACATGCGATGATTTTTTTTTTCTATTATTTTTCTAAAGTACCTTGAAGTTCATACTTTGCCACCAGGATTTTAAGGTGCAGCTGTTGGATAATAAAAATGATTTATCTACAGGGACATTTAGAGCCTTTGACAAGGATGGAGATGGTCTTATCAAGCTCAATGTTTTTGAGGTGAGCTTAATCTCTGTATATTGAATATTAACAGGATTAAGACAGGAGAATTTTAATCATATTTGCACTGCTATGGTTCACTCTAACGAGTTCCTGTTTTCTATATTATATACACAGTGGCTTCAACTGACCATGTATGCCTAAAGACATAAACACAGATACAGAAGGCCACCTGGTGACACTTTCAACCAACATTACAGAAAGATCTGCATTGGCATCAATTATACTGTACACCATTTTGTTTTGTTTTTTTGTTTTTCAGCCAGTGCTGGTCTAGAACAAACTGGATTAATCATGAAAGCCCATTTTAGATCTTTTTAAACAATTATTTAGTAGACAATCCCTTTCAGATGACATTTTGTTGTCATTCATATTAAATGTATTAAGCTGTCATGCCATAGATTACACACATTTGAACCCACCCTTGTAAAATGTGTGTGCTACTGTGCAACTGTAAATAATTCAACTAAATAAAGTACTTTGCACTGTTTTAATCCACTTGTTGTCAGCCATGATTTGCAGAGAATAAACAAACAACACAAAATAGTACAACGATTGTGCGTTCATGACTGCAAACAGTGGATAAACACATGGTTAACCTTGAGGATGAACAAACTTCTGCTGGAGCAGCAAGAACACAAATGATAGAAACAACAAAATATTTTCAACATTTTAAAATATTATTCAGATTCCAGTAAGGAAAATAACTACAAAACCTTCCAGAGTGAGTCTGAATGAATATCCTAATATGTTGTCTTGTAAGTAATATTATTTGAACTGATAAATCCATATTACTACACTATTTATTGTATTAGGCAGTGAATGTCCATATTCTACTGACGCTATTATGAAAATAATTTTAATATACCTGAATCTTCAGATCGTAGTCTGTGACATCTCCTTTCATGTCCTTGTAGCTTGACAAAGTCCCTCACACAATCTCGACTAAAAAGAAATTATTGATTTTTCCAAATTGTAGGTGACCTTTTTTAAACAATTTTACATTTCAAGATAGAAATTACATTTTTTTTCATGCCAGAATCAGATTTGAAAAAAAAAAACTATTGCTTTTTTTCTTTAGAATTAATCTGCACTGATCTGATCAAATTAGAGCATAATCCAATGTGAACTGCAATAAAACAATTATTAAACTGCATTAAAGTCTGTTACAATGATGCAGTCTGTGCTCTCAGATGAGATGCATGCTCACAGAGGTTATTTGTGTTCACTGAGAGTTAAATCCAGAATCAGATAAACCTGGGAATGAGTCCTATGGTGCAGCTGCTCCGTGAGGCTCCCTGGGATGGCTGTGAGGGATCCTTCCTCAGAGGTTCACGCAGCTGTCAGGAGTCATTTAGCTCCACCTGCTGGTCTGAATGAGTGGGATCTGACAAAACATCATTACATATATTATTATATTAATCTTAAATTTGAAACAAACAAAAAATACATTTCTTAAGTAGGAATACTTAGTCCATGAGTTGAACTGATAAAAATATATGAGATGATAAAGGAGTTCTTACTCTTCATATCCTGCAGAATCTTTATGCGCTTCGTCCTGAGCGAGGCCATCTCTGAGGTGACCTGACAACAGAAGAATTGATATTGTGTGTGTATATATATATATATATATATATATATATATATATATATATATATATATATACACATACAAGGATTTTGGCTGTTTATTATTACTTAGAAATAAATATTAATGCATTATTCTGCTTCACTATATTCTACATCCCTTAATCCTACCCAATACAACTACCTCACAAACTATTAATAAGCAGTAAATAGGAGATTATTGAAGTTATTGGTTAATGGTGAGAATTGGATCTTAATCTAAAGTATCAACACATAATAATAAAATATGTTGTATAATAAACAATAAACAAACAAATATAAATATATAGAATTGTTATTGTGCCAATTACAGTATAATTAAATTGCAATAAATTATGCAGCATTTCTTATAAATGATTTATCCGTTTAATAAATGCATATTCCCTCGTAATCTTTAATCAAAATAACTTCCCTTCCTCTTGCAACTACGTTTCATCTCTTCTCTTTACTGATGAAGTGTTTACGGCGTGAGGACGGGACAACCTGTCACTCACATGAGATCCCAGCAATAGAAAACCATAAATAATCCAATCAATTCCTAATGAACAAAATCAAATCCCATCTTTCATTTTTTTTTCTTAAAAAAAAAAAAAAAAAAAACAATCTAAAAAGAAATTGTAGACTTCTAAAATATTAAAGGGTGAAAACTAAAGAGCTTGCGATGGTGATTAATGGAGCTGCCACGTACCTGTTGTTTAACAGCTAGAAGACGCTGAACTTCATTGTAAGCGCTCTGCATGGTAGAGTACGCCAGGAACAACTCGTCACCTACATCCTCCAAAGAGCTGGTCAACTTATCTTCTATTGAAGACAGCTTCAACAACTTCTTCACGTCCCCTTGGAATAATATACACACACAGATAAACCTTATGACACGTACAAACATATAACTTGTCAATTAGATTAAGACGGTAGAGAGACACAGTTGAATTATCAATTACAGCTGATTGAGGTTAAACATCTGGCAAATAACTCATGACTAAATTTTAAAAGGACATTTGACCTAATAAAAAAAAAACACTCAAATTTGCATTTCCTTGCATTAATAAATAATAATAATAATAATACCAAAAATATATATTTTTAAATAATAAATGTTAATCAAAGCTACAATAAAATTGAATACTCACTTTTTCTAGATGTTTTGTCATTTATCCTGGGATTCAGATTGTTATGTGAAATGTCCTTTAAAAAAATACATAAATAAATATTAACAAGCATTTCTATAGATTTCTTGTTACAACTTCACTCAAACTCTCATACTTGTTTTTTTTTCTTGTTTTTCTGGATGTTGAAGGAGTTGGTTTCAAAGCTGTTCTCCATTGATGTTTCTCCCTGTTCTGCGTCACACGCATTTGATTTCTTTTTCTTAACATGCACAGTCTGAGGCCCAACGTTTTCAACAACCTCTACTGCCTGGCAGTCATTTCCTGAAGACTGGCTTTCGAACGTTTCATTCAGTGAAGATCCAGATGGAAGAGAATCAACATGTGGCTCTTGCCCATTCATACCTTGTCTAAGAAAAAAAGAGATGTTAAGGAAATCACAGTTTAAATGTCAGAGACAACAGATATTCATCTAAGAATCCAAAGGTTTTTAAGTCAGAAACATGCTTGTGGATCAAATTTTATGAAACATATGTGATTTTTTAAAAATGTTAACACTAAAGAGAATATGAAAGAATGAGTCTCAAAGCAAAAAGTAAATTTCATGATTTATTTACCTGGTTGTGCCCTGTTTATTACTCTGTAATGCTGCTTTGTTAACTTTCCTCATAGACTTCTTGGAACAACTGCGTTTTTGTAGTGGAGGTTTGGGAATGACAGCTTCATTCTTGGTCGTTGCCTTCTGTGCTGAAAAAGTTACTTTTGTTGCTGTCAAGTTGGGTTTGATGGCCTCCATCCTGCTTTGGACCAGTCCAGGGGCACAAGTAGGCCGAGCAGATGTACCAGATGTATCTTCAATTTCTGGAGTCGGTGTGCCACGAGCAGACATTTCTTGAGGAAGATTATCAGATGGGTTCTCAAGACGAGGCTTTTTCACAGGTGGCTCGTTTGATCTGTCCATATCAAGTATGCTCTCTTGTCTCTGTTTAGGCAGGTTTTGGTTAAGCTGGAAAAATGCTGGGAAGTCTTTTTGATTTTCCCAAGAGACGCAGAGACGGCATGATTGTGGCAACTGGCCATTTGTGAACTCCTCATTGCCTACGACGGGTTTTGTTAAATTTCCAATTTCACTTGTGTTTTTTGTCGATTTCAGCAACTGTGCCTTCTTCCATTTTGCTTGTTTCCACTTCTTTGTTTTCTCTCTCTTTTTCTCTTGCCTTACAATAAAGACAACAAGCAGCACTGATTGTCAAGGGACCATTCACACAGAACACAATCTTGTGTTTAAAATAAAAATTTTCTTATTTGTACACAGAGCAGAACTTATGAAACGATTCACACCACATGAATCACACACATAAATAAGATCTTAACCTTGACAATGTTGAGCATATGCTCGGATAGGAATTGAGAAAGTAGAAAAATTGTAACAAAAGCAGCAAGGTGGGATGCAAAACACTTGTGCCTTAGACTATTGATAGAAAAAAATCTTAAAGGTCATTCGGTAATGTTCCACACTGTTCAGTCACTCAGCCATCATTCATTCAAAACACACAATTACACACATAACGTTTGAGCTGGAAAGCTTACATTTGTTGATCTCTTTGGTAACAAAGGGCTCTAAGCTCATCATCAATTTCAGCACTGTAGTCCACTGTTTGTCCATCTGCTGTCATCTTTTGGAGTTCAAACAGCATGTATTTGTGATAAAGAGTGTTAATATGCACCTTAAACTGTGCAATTCCTGTTTTAGTCATGTCACAAGCCCAACACTTATGAACTTGTGGACTGTAGGAAGAAGAGCATACATTTAGTTCACTTTTTTATTATTAATAGTTTAATATTAAAATTCTTTCATAATACAGAACAACTAATGTCACACTGGTGCCTTTCACACAGAACACATTTTTCCATTCCACTGTGCTTTTCCAAAAAAAAACACACGCTAGGCTAGACAGATGTGTTTGACCGTTGCGCTCACGTCTTGTGTCTTTGCACATGACATGGCATTCTAAAAACACAATGCTCAAGTTTAAAATAAGTAACGACCGTATGGCTTTCCCCCATTCCACTGTCCACGTCATGCGTTTTTTTCAAAGCAAAAACACGTTTTGTGTGAATCAGCCCAAAAAGATGTATCAATCAATGTGTTTTAATCCCATACCTGCCCTTCAGTTGCTCAATTGCCTGATGGTGGACAATACTGTGCATATGTGCATCCAAATCCTGTGATAGCAAAGATGAAGGTAATTATAAAAAGACATACATAATGTGCTTACAGCATAAAAAATGACCATAAAACATTCAATTTGGGAATGAAAAAGCCAATGATTTAATTAAATCATCAGACAAAAACACAGTTCTGTCATTACATCTAAATATTTACTTTCTAATAATTTTTTCTTTTCTGTAATGTCTTTAATTCAATGAAAAATGTTTAAGCTGATTATTTTAGCCTTTATCTATAAGGTTGTCACTCTCAAAGGAAAGACAGGGTATTAAAAAAAGTAACAGAAAGTTTCTAACCTGTATAGGGAAAATATGACAGCAGACAAAACAAGTCTCCGTACATTTTTGTATCTTCCTAAATGGATGAAAATAACTTTTACATCTTTGATCCATATTAATATTGAAAAAGTAAGAGGCCAGTTTATTTTAAAAGGCAATTTATCAACCATTTTTTAATTCAAAAACTTGTATTATACAGTTGAATGTATATGATGTAAACTTACGTTTTTCTCTCTATTTGAAGGGCTAAAAACTCCTCTTCAGTCAGATCAATATTGTAGTTCATATATCTTTGTTCTTTTTTTCTTCTGTTTTGGAGTTTGTACAGACTGTATGTGTGTTTCTGGGTGGCAATATGCTCTTTGTACAGCTCTAGTCCCAGCACGGACACATCACATGCCAAACACTTATGCAACTGTTCACTGCAATATCAAAAGTGCATTATTTTTTATTTATTTTTTTATACCTGAGAAGGACTTTATAATCAGTTCTCTGTAATTCCATACCTGCCCTTGAGATGCTCAACTGCCTCATGGTGGACATAAGAATGCATATGGGTGTCCAAATTCTGTAAAAAAAAAAAGGAAGTAATAGCTATACCCAATCTTTTACTAATAAGGCCAAAGAAGTAACATTTTAAATCTTGAATGCCATTTGTCCATCCAATTGCTTTTTACAAGAGATTTAATTGGGAGAACAATTCATATTGATTTTGTGAGAGAGAAACTGAAACTATAGAAAATATATATTCTTGTATATTAATTTTGGCTTTCACTTCAAATATTTGGAACACCCTTTGAATGTGATCTCAATTAAAATCGGAATGTTTTTTGAATGATAAGTAGAATTATTGATAAATAACCTTATTGTTTTAGGTAAACACTTTATCCACAAATGTTTTAAAAATAATCTTTAAATATTTAAAGATTAAACCACATTTTCAACAGATGGAAGAATTATTTTAAGCTGTTTGCAAAATCTCATGATGATGATGGACAGAAATGCCCTGAAACGTCTTACAGCTTTTTCTATCACTACTAGATTAAGATATCACACTTCTTTTTGTGTGTTTTGTACATTTAAAAAAACAACAAATCACAATAATAAATAAATCATCAAATAAAATCAACTATTGTGAAATTGTAAACAAACGAACAGACCAACCGTATCTCCGTACTGTTTGCCGCAGATCAAACATTTTGTGTACACCGGTATCAAGGTTTTCTCGGACTTTTTCCTCTTCTTTCTGGATTTCATGGCTGCCTGTTATTTACTGTAGTAAACGAAAAAAAAACGTAAATATGTACAGTAGTAATTGTGAGAACAACGGCAAGCAAAATGTTTTGAGGTGGAGTTAGAACATTTAAATAATTCTAGACATTCAGATTTACGTTCAGTTAACGTTAGCTGGAAGACTCTTGTCGTGAATGGCAACGTTATTGTGTCACCATATAGACGTACCCAAAACTGATTTTTTTAGTAGTTGTTGTCAGTATGCCGCGTTATCCATCCACGTGCTTAATCAGAACATGTAAAACATTGTTGCCAGATATCGCAACACAAACGAAACGAGTTGAAACGAGCCTAGGCGACTTTCCTAAACACAATTAGCTATCACCTGTTTTTGAGATTTGATGGACTGTCTGTATGAATGAAATAGGACTAAAAAACACAACTCGCTAATTTTCATTTTATACATTTATCGGTGCCTATATATTTCACTGGACGGACATGATGGCCACACTGCTGTAAGGATTTACAGTCTAAACAATCAGGGTGCTCCCCCTAGTGTAGTGGTTCTTTAACTAGTAAATATATATATATATATATATATATATATATATATATATATATATATATATATATATATATATATATATATATATATATATATATATATATATATATATATATATAATTCCTACTGAAAAGCAATAAACTGACACACATAGCAGAAAATGTGGAAAAGTCAGATGCTGTAGGGTTTCGAATATTGACCTTTACAATTAATGGTGATGATGTGGGGCTTTGGAAAAATTTGAGGACCAATGTCTGGATGTATCTAATGTTTATATTGCATTCAATTGTCAACAAACTTTATTACTAGCATACTGCACACAAAAATAAACCATCCATCCTGTCTTTCAATCGCAGTTCGCAGATTTGCTGAACGCATGAACTCACCGCTGGGGGCGCTATACTCACCAATGCTACAGAGAATACACAGAAGAAGACGAACACGGAAGCGTCTCGGTGTTGTGATCCTGCTTTGATCTGTATTATTAGTTTTCTAAGCTGACTGATCTGAAATGTGTACTGGATGTATGCAGAAACAATATCCCGACAGAGTGAGTTTATGTTAATTGTGAATGGCACGCCTCGCGCAAATCCTGCTATTATTTGTTCCTTTGATACCATTAAAGTTCAAAGAGGCAGATGCAGCGCGGGTTGTTGGTTGGTTTCCAGTCAAAGATGAGCATCACTGCACTTATGTTTCCTGAAACGTTTTGTGCTTAGTAGATAGCCAAACTATCTATTATCATCAGGCATTTAGCTTTTCCCATTAATTCTTAATATTTAGACTTAATATTTAATAGCACTAAGTTGAACTTGTTTTGTTTACTTGTGCACTTGGTTCAAGCTTAATATTTTTGATAGAAACTGTATTTCAGGTGTTTACTTAATCTGTTATGTGCAATAGGGTAATACCTGTCTCGAGAATGGTTCGTATCTCATGAATTTTCTCGGATGCGCCAACTGTCACCAGCGGGACTTTGTACTGATCAGTGACAGGACGGTCGTGAATGAAGATGAGGAAGAGATTGTCACTTATCTGCGTGAGTCACGTGATGTCACATCGTTACATGATGAACATATTCAGCTGAATGTTTTAGACTGACGTCATCAGTTTTTGCTTTTCTTCAGATATGTGCAAGAACTGTGATCATGTCATAGCCAGACATGAGTACACCTTCACTGTGGTGGATGACTATCAGGTGAGCTGTGTTTTTAAATGTTTAGAAATAAGATGCTAGGAGTTGTACAATTATAAATAGACCAATACGGTTTAATATCTCTCTCTCTCTCTCTCTCTATATATATATATATATATATATATATATATATATAGAAAGTGGGGTGTTTAGGTTTTAAAGGGGATTTTTATTTTATGATGTATTATACTTTTTTTCAGGAATACACAATGTTGTGTATGCTGTGTGGAAAAGCAGAGGATTCCATCAGTGTTCTGCCAGACGATCCCAGACAAACAGCTCCTCTGTTCTAGAGTATTTGCACGATGGAGGGAGACTTGAAATATGCAATGTAGACACAGTGTCACGATTAATCCAATAGAATATATTGCAGAATGCATCGTGTTCTTTGTTTCTACTGCTTCAAGAGTGGCTCAAGGTTCACAGTATGGCTCTGACTCATAAAGACATGAGTTTGAGAGTCATTTACAAATATTAAACCTAATTATGAGCCATGGTTCCTTATGCTTGTGTTCATCATGTTTGATTTGCTCACTCTATTAAAAGGAAAGTGTGTATTGTTTCCCATGTTAAAATGCTTTCTTCCATACCATCTTAAGGCCAATTCACACAGCAACGACAGACGGCAACATACACTTCATTGGGTTTTGCCGGAGCTTGTTGTTTCTGCGATTGAACATGCTGAATTGGAATAATGTCGGAGAAGTGGCGTGCTGTAATCTGGTGACTGGGGGTGCATTGTGAATTGGGCTTTCATATGCAGTGTTGTTCTGTCGCCAATTAAATGAGTAAATGATTTGCAAGAAAGGTTAGGTTTAAGTGGATTTGCAAATGACAGGATTTTTGTTACTATGCATGCAACACTTACACTAGAACATGACTGATTTAGAGATGAAATGTTTTAAAACGTACAGACAAAATTAAAAATCAGATTCCTGCGTATTACTAATACTTACATTTCAGTCAATATGGTGTCATTTTCTAGTGTTAATCCAACAAAATATTTTGTATGCTTTGTCTAAAACTATAAAACAATTTAGTTTAATAAAATAATGACAGCATAATGTCATCGCAAAAATCAAGCATTTGGTACTCAAGTATTTATTCCATTAATGTGAATACATATACATTCCAACATGGTAACTTTTTTTGCCTGATTGAAATATGTTTGTTAGCAAAATACAGTACATGAAGCATGAGGTGGAATTTCTTTTTCTTAATATATTTATATCTATATACAGTTCAGATTATGTACAATTCGCAAGATAATAGACCATCCTTCATTCCGCAGTTGTGGGCTTATACTGATGCTTTTAAAGTAAAAGTACTTTCCGAGGACAAAACAGACGATTCAGAACAAAACAACTATTCTAGCTGCACAGCACAAAATGGAGTCGTGGTAATGACTCGGTAGCTACAATACCTTTCTCGGTCTCTCACTCTTTAGACAACTTTCAATAAATGCCATGACAGAGAATTCAATCCCAAAATCCACAGAAGCATCTCATATCATGGTGGTCTTGCTGATGTATTCAAGTAATATGGTAATGGGACTATAGTGTTTGAATAAAGAGTTCCTTTAAGGGTCTGTAGTGTTTCACCGCAATATATCGGCAAGTTTCTTACTGATGTTATAACTATTTACAGGGACTGTTAGTATGATATTGCAGGCATGGAAGAGATTATACTTGGCAATTGCAAGGTTGCTGACCCTTAATGTGATGGCGAATTCACTCAGTAGCAAGTAATAAAGCTACATTGTCAGGTACGTAACCACATCCAATAAATAAATAAATACATTCTATAGATGATACAGTTTACAGTACATACATTCCCTGAAATACATATATACACATGCTTGCTTGGACCAGATCTATCTATACGTGAATGATATCACGTTGTATAGATGGCTGTGGGCTGAAATGAGCATTTAAGTTTAAATGCTTTGACCAATGGTTTTAAAAAAACAAACAAACAAACAAAAAAAGATAGAAAATGTAAGGTTAGAGTATCTGGAGTGCCAACAAAACTTGAAACATACTGTTTGACAGAATACAATGAGTTACTAAGTGCAGCCCCATTGTTTTCACATTTCAAATGATTGTGGCAAATAGAAAGTGTTTAAAATCTGACATGTGCAATAACAAAACAACATGAAAAAGATGATTTAAATATAACTAAAAAATGATATGGCACAAACTATAAAGAGTGTAAAATAAATAAATAACAATAACTGCGATGAAAAGCAAGTTTTTAAGACAAAGTTACACAGCGTCACTGGAAAGATCAGCATGTTAATATTTCATGTGTTCCTAAAATGTCAAAAACATGATGCTTTTAAGTAGTCACAACCAACCGGCAAATACCCGGTCGTTTATCACTTCACTTATCAAAACATCACTTGTAAAAAGGCTACAGGTTACCTGGCTTCATCATGTGATGTAAAAGCTACTTTTGAAGCTTTTCCCTTTATTTGCTCGTTTTGGTTGTGGTTTTGCTCTCAGGACTTCCTGCTCTGACTCTGGTGCAGAACCCTGACCCGTGATTTACTCTTAAGTCACTGATTCGAGGAGGCGGGGAGGCTGAGCAGCTACTTGGTGACTGGCTGTGACCGCCCTCAAAACGGGAAGGGGAGGAGCTTAGCGAGCGCTGCAGAGACGAGGCGGTGGTGCGCTGGTAACGAGAGGAGCTGACGCCCATCCCACCTCGCTCATGCATGAGCTGAGAGAGGTTGTCCAAGAGGTCCGCGTCACCGGTGCTGCTAGCGCGAATGCGGTAGCGTCTGCGTCTGAAAGGACAAGAGCATTCAATATCACATTTCAGACTAAACGAATATTCGAGTCATTTGTTCATGAATCAAACTGGACCCTCACTTGTCTCGGACTACATTGGTCACGCTGTATGTTTTTGATTATCTAAAAAGAACCAGCACATAATAGTTTTCATGGACAACACTGGTATCATTGCATGCGTGTCGCCAATGAGGACAACTCAATACAGTGAAACAAGGAAGCTTCTAACTCGCTACACTAATTTAGAAACTCTTGCTTCCCTCACCTGTTCTCGCCACCTGTGCGAAGGGGCGGTTTGCCTGGTGGCGGCCGAGGAATAAATCGAGCAGACAGTTGATCCGGTCCTAGTGTGGGGCTTATGGGTCTTGGAATTTTACTCTTGCCTGACAGAGGTCCAGAAGAGGAAGACAGAGAGAGCGGGTCCTCCACCTGCCAGTCTGACCCTCGAGAACCGGTGGGAAAGGTGAACTTGTCACGCAGCAAAGCCGAGGGGAAGTGCTCACATGACAGCGAAAGAGATGGGGAAAGCGGAGCTGGAAAACCCCTGCGAGTCGGAGAGTCCGGGTCACGGATCGGGATGCGACTGGTCCGGGGGGAGAGTTCACGAGGTGATGCTGGGGCTGCATCAACAATGTGTCCGGTTGTCTCACCCTGGTTAGGGGTTGAAGGAGTCCCACCGTCAGGACAGCCTGAGTCACTCTCCACATCCTTGTCAGAGGCCTTGACAGAGATAATGTTTTCATCTGACTTCTTAGGGCTTTTAGAGGGCGAAATAGCCGACACGTGGTCGTGCTCTTTTTCCGCAGGGCGTGATGGATTGTCAGGCTGAGAGTTGTCTCCTGTCTTCTGCTGAGGCTGAATGGGCTGTAGCACTGCATTGGATGACTGTGAAAAGAATAGCATTAAGAGACAAGAATTTATTTATGGAGCCCTGCAGAGATAATACTCATACAAATGTGTTTTTTTAAATGTACCATCCTTTGCTTGGCCAAAATATGAGCTCTGGTGAGATTTTCTGAGCTTGCTTCACTTTTGATTTGATGTTTTTGATATACAGTAATGTGTAAATCCAAGTTGCTGGCCAAAATCCGAGACAATGTTGCAGTGAAACTACTGCAATGCACCCATAAACGATCACTACATCCTGCTACAGTTTTCCATACACAATGAAACATTATGGAAATGATTTGTCATTTCTTATCTTTAATATTAGAATTTTGTTGAAAGGTTTAGGGTTTTTGACAGTTAATACATTTATAATATTCCAAAAGATTTCTATTTGAAATCAATGCTGTTCTATAAAACTTTCTATTCATCAAAGAACCTTAAAGAAAATGTTAATAAAAATATTAAGCAGCACAGATGATTTTTACAACGATAATAATTTCGTTAGCAAACATGTAACTATAATTGTTGAGTTCTTTCCATTGATCAATTTCATTCTTTCACATTTAAAAGATTTCATGAGGTTAACTTACACCTTACTTGTGGTCAGTCTGCACAAATAACGATCAACATGCTTTTACAAGACTAAGCATTCGATCTACATCAGAGCGTCCACTAATCTTCCTACAGCGGTATTGGAAGGGCGGCCAGAGCGAATTTTGACGCTCTAGGTGGCGGTGATATGAATGCACAGTAAGAGACTTCTTTCATCATCACAATCCTAGCGTTATTTCAACTCATTTTCAGGGTCCACATCACACACATTTGGCACAGGTTTTACGAATGCCCTTCCTGACACAACCCAGCACTACAACAATTTGGCATATCCAATGCACCTAACCTGCATGTCTTTGGGGGAAACCGCAACACCCTTTGACACAGGGAGAACATGCAAACTCCACAGAGAGGACTCCTGGCTCGAACAAGGGAGCTTCTTGCTGTGCCTACCCACTGAGCCACCCTACCGCCCCATAAGAGACTTATTTCAAAAACATTACAAATCTTTCCGACCCCAAACTTTTTAACAGTTCTATTGTGACTTGATATCTCACAATGTGGACTTTTGTTTAGGAATGCAAATTCTTCTACTCAGAATGCAACAAGATATATTTACCTGCTCAAGATGTGACCTGCTGAGGTGGACCATTGACGCAGGCTGTATTGTGGGAAGTCTTCTTAATCCAGATAGGCCTATTACACCAGACAAACCCGGAAGTCTGGCGAATGGAGGTCCAGTGTGGCAGACACCGGTGTGGAATTCTGTTGAGGCAAGGCTGCTAGCACGCTGAGGCAAGGGGTCGGACCAGGTGCGGGGGAGAGCGAGGGGGCTGGAGGAGCGTGGCGAGAGTCCTGAGCGTTCCTCCTCATCTGGTTTAGAGCCAGCTGAACCACTAGCGCCTTCAAGCTCAACTAGGACCCACTCCTGTGAGTCACCCTCTTGAGGGACGGGGCTGAGGTTGACGGCAACGTAACCGCTACTGGCTGCCCCCTCCTCGTCCTCCAAAGAGCCCTGCTCGACCCGACAGACAGACCTGTCTTGGGACATACCTGCCCGCTGCTTGCCTAAACTAATGAGAGGAAGAAGGAGAAGTGGTTAAGATGTCTCTAGGGACCGAATTTACATTTATAAGGAAATTTATTAAGACTTTGTTTACTGACTAGGCCTCAAGGAAGCGTTCAATGGTGGGTTTGGGTTCGGGAGTCAGTCTCTTGTCTAACCCCATGCTCTGACTATGGCGCATCCTTCTCAGCAGAGGAGCCACACGGTCGATGAGCAAGGTCTCTGAGCGCACACGTCTGGGAGAGCCCTGGATGGAGCCACTGTTGGGGCTCTGGTTGCCCTCTTTGCTTCGCTCCTCCTCACTAGCCACCTGAATCAGAAACAAAAGCTCATGACTAACTTCAATACATACTATTTGGACCGGCGAAAAAGGTGATGGCGAGGCTATAAGTGACATTAGGCCAACTCTTTAAATTCTTCTAATGAATATGGTAACATCCTAAAATGTCAAATGTAAGCTGTAAAAGTTCAAATAATACAAGTTTTGGCAAAATTTACATTTTTATAAAACAATAAACCTCACATTCCAGCATAATAAATGATTATGGATGTTATATATTTGGTCTTGACAAATGAAATGAAATTGATGAAAATGCAAATTCACTCTC